CCCATGGCTCTGGAGAGCTGATCATCCAATTACGTCAAGGGAAGCCAAAAGATTGCTAGGTTTAACATGCTGCAAGAGCAGTGCTAGCTCAAAACTGAATCCATGGTCTCCATCTCCTGTGCGCCTGAGTATATGTTGACTTCAGGGCAGCACTATTTCCAATCAGTGCAAAATTTCTATACAGCTCTTCTTAGCAACTCTGCCTTTACATCCCTCTCTCATTTTTCAACCTGAGGCTTTCAGTGCTCTCTGCCCTCCAAATCCTGCTATGCCAGCCATAGGATTCATATCACCTAACTTTAGATATCAAATAATTAGTCCAAGCTTGTGATTTAGTCTACCTATAGAACCATTCACATGCCTTAGGTGTTTAAAGGTTACAAAGTGCCAGCCAGGATCTGTGCTTACAACAGCCTTGCTGCAGCAGAGGAACCAGTGAGTGTATCCACGTGTAATGTGAACTGAACCATGACACACCACCTCCCCTACCTCCAAAGGTGATGCCTGGACCCCGTAGCTGCACCTGAGGGGGGTTGTGCTCTGAACGACACCGATGAGAGAGCTCATTAGCAAGAGCAATGCTGTGCCCAAGGACATACCAGCTGCTTTAGGCTAGAGCTGGTTTAAATCCTGCCAGGCCTGGGCAGAGCAGGTGTTGGGTGGTCAGGGCTGGTCTGGCAGCTCTGCCTGGCGCCGAGCACACTACAGGCTGCAGGTGCCCAGGGAGGGCCTGTGGCATAGATCCAGCCCAGAGGGCGGGAGGAAATTCGTTTTACAGGCCAGTTGGCTTGAAGAAGGACCCTTCCACTTTGCGACAAATTGCACAGATCGCAAGTTGAAAATTACATAGATACCTTCCTCTTCAGAATGGGCTCTGGCATAGAGGAATCGCAGTGTCCTTTGCCAGGCAGAATAATGAGGCTATAGCCACAAAAGAATGAAATACATTTTTTTATGATCTTGATAATTCTGTGTCCTTTTTTTTAAAGACCTCATAAAACAACCAGTGAAGTTATAGTTTCTAATATTGATCGATGTGAAGATGGATGCTGAGACATCAGCTTACTACTGAGACTGTCCTCTTCGTAGACCATTAATTGTCTTTTGTTCTTTTCATTGTACATCAATATGAGCTAAAGAATTGTATGGACTGGAACAGGATCTGCTCTTATTACCCTTTGTGCTAACTGAATAAAACACCCTGGAACATTTCACTGTAATTGTTAGTCTTACTCTCCTTTTATCCTTTTAAATTATTTCTGAAAGTGTTATAACCTTCCTTTTCCTCTATATCATGACTTTTCAAATACACAAAGGGAAAACAGAGTGAAAGACCACTCTCAGTTATTTAAAACAAGACAGATTTAATTGTAAAAACACCTCTCACTTGGCACGTCTTCTGTGTCTCATAGCCAAGCCAGTTTTCCCTCCAGCTTCTTAACTGGTAGTCTAACACCAGTTTTATATACAGATAACTTACCAGAAAGTTGCTATCATGAGTAAGGTTCAAGACTACTTCACCAAAAAACGTCATGAAGAAATGCATATTTCTTCAGAGCAAAAATGCTTTGCCATTCAAGGAAACTTTTCATTTTTTTAGGAATTCAAGAATTAAAGGACCTTCTGGGTCATCCATTCCAGTTCTATCCTTCCTTTTTGCAGCCATGCACAAAGCATTGCATTTCTTTTTAAGATTTAAAATACCATGTTAGTGACTTAGGCTGTGACTCAAGGAAGACCAGTAAGTGGAAGATATTACAGGAACTTAATACTGCCTTTTGTGAGTGCAGGCTAATCAGATACTTATCCACTTTTTTACCTCTTTCACATTTATAAGTGAAGAAATTATAACAAATCTGGTGATCTGCATGTAATTATGTCACACAGTTCTTGCACTAAAGAATTATTTTAGGGAGTTAGAGTTTAGCAGGATATCAATAAGAATTTGAACAATAGAATTTAAGCAAAAAAGTGATCTCTCATTCAACATTTCCCTTTGAATATTTTTTCTCCTTGTGACATGTCAGTACCACTGCACTGCTGAGTCACCTACTTTCCAACAGGCAGTCATTTTCCGTAATTGCAGAAATTCAGAAATTCTGCCGCTCCAGCTGCTCATTAACCACAGAGGGTGTCATCTTCAGCCAGGGTAAATTTGTTCAAAGGGTGACATCATCTTATTGCAGCTGAGGATCTGACCCCAAAACAGAGAGCCAGCTCACAGGAACACCAGGTAATTTCCAAATTCAGCACTCAACAAATTATTCATCATTACTGCTTTTTCACCCTGTCCTTGCTTTGGGACCGTGCTGTATCACTAGAAATTACATTATTAATAGATCTCCTTGTTCTGTGAATTTGGCTTCTAGATCAGACTACTTTTCCTTATTTTTTTTTATTTTCAAAGACAGTATTAAAAATGAGATACTGTTTTACTGTAGCCTCCCCCATCGTGTCCCACACTGCTCTCAAATTAGCTTGGTGAACCAGTGTGCTGGTCATGTCCACAGAGATATAAATAGATGAGCTCACCGTGGAAATGACATAGAAGTAACTATGTGTAGACAAGCATTGTCAGAAA